AGCAGGAGACTCTTACAGAATGATAGAGTCAAAAGGGACCTTGGAGGTCATCTAGTCCGACCCCCAGCTCAACCAGGAGACCTTTACAGAATGATAGAGTTGGAAGGGACCCTGGAGGTCATCTAGTCCAACCCCCTGCTTGAGCAGGAGACCCTTACAGAATGATAGAGTTGGAAGGGACCTTGGAGGTCATCTAGTCAGACCCCCAGCTCAACCAGGAGACCCTTACAGAATGATAGAGTTGGAAGGGACCCTGGAGGTCATCTAGTCCAACCCCCTGCTTGAGCAGGACACCCTTACAGAATGACAGAATGATAAGAGTCAGAAGGGACCTTGGAGGTCATCTAGTCCGACCCCCTGCTCAAGCAGGAGACCCTTACAGAATAACAGAGTCAAAAGGGACTGTGGAGGTCATCTAGTCCGACCCCCAGCTCAAGCAGGAGACCTTTACAGAATGATAGAGTTGGAAGGGACCCTGGAGGTCATCTAGTCCAACCCCCTGCTTGAGCAGGAGACCCTTAAAGAATGATAGAGTTGGAAGGGACCTTGGAGGTCATCTAGTCAGACCCCCAGCTCAACCAGGAGACCCTTACAGAATGATAGAGTTGGAAGGGACCCTGGAGGTCATCTAGTCCAACCCCCTGCTTGAGCAGGAGACCCTTACAGAATGACAGAATGATAAGAGTCAGAAGGGACCTTGGAGGTCATCTAGTCCACCCCCTGCTCAAGCAGGAGACTCTTACAGAATGATAGAGTCAAAAGGGACCTTGGAGGTCATCTAGTCCAAGCCCCAGCTCAAGCAGGAGACCCTTACACAATCACGGAAGGGACCCTGGAGGTCATCCAGTCCAACCCCCAGCTCAAGCAGAAGACGCTTACAGAATGATAGAGTTGGAAGGGACCTTGGAGGTCATCTAGTCCAACTCCCTGCTCAACCAGGAGACCCTTACAGAATTACAGAGTCAGAGGGGACTGTGGAGGTCATCTAGTCCGACCCCCTGCTCAAGCAGGAGACCCTTACAGAATAACAGAGTCAGAAGGGACCTTGGAGGTCATCTAGTCCGACCCCCAGCTCAAGCAGGAGACCCTTACACAATCATGGAAGGGACCCTGGAGGTCATCCAGTCCAACCCGCTGCTCAAGCAGGAGACCCTTATGCAATCACAGAGTTGGAAGGGACCCTGGAGGTCATCTAGTCCAACCCTCTGCTCAAGCAGGAGATCTTGGAGGTCATCTAGTGCAATCCCCAGTTCAAGCAGGGGACCCTTACACAATCACGGAAGGTACCCTGGAGGTCATCCAGCCCAACCCCCTGCTCAAGCAGGAGACCCTTACAGAATGACAGTCGGAAGGGACCCCGGAGGTCATCCAGCCCAACCCCCCTGCTCAACCAGGAGACCCTCGACCGTTCCAGACAAGTGGCCGTCCGGCGTGTAAGCACCCACTTCGCTTAACACCCCCCCCAAGAAAGCAGAACACTTCAAACGGGCCTTGTCCAGAAAGGAAACCTTTATTTTTTTGGGGGGGGGGTCAGTGACAGCAAGGAAGTCAAGGCGAGATCCGGGGGGGGGGGAAATCCCACTCTAAGCAGCCTAGTGGACGCAGCCACCTTCCTCCTCCTCCTCCCGCCAACCTCATAGTGTCCGTTTGCAATCCCAGTTGATCCGCCGGCGGGAACCATTGTTTGGGTCGCTGGCGCCCTTGGCCCCCACCCCAAACGGTCTCCTCCCCCTTTGGCTTCTCCGCATACCCTTAACGCACTCCTCTCTCAGGGGGGCCGAAGCCAGAAAGGGAAAGCAGAAAGCGAAAGTCGTCCCAAGCCGAGCCGATCCCCCCCCCTGCCGATCCCCCCCCGCCCAGCAGAACGGCATATATATATATATGATGGGGCAAGTGTGGGTCACAAGGGAGAGTCCTGTGATGGGGCAGGTGTGGGTCCCAAATGAGGGTCCTGT